TAAAGAAATAGAAGACATGGCCCCATTTCTTTGCAGGCACGGCTGCTCTGCTGGGCCCTGATAAGCCGTGGGGGGAGGTTTCTTGAGAGATGGCCCTCACACGTGCCGTCGTATGATTGGATTCTCTCAAGCTGGAGATTGTAAAACGCAGAGTCGTCACAGCCACACTGTTAGGAAATATATGAAGCTTGCGTCATACAATGGAAGCAGTTAATTGCAGGAGTGTTATCCAGAGTTTGAAGGATGTTGAGATTTATTGACATGGCCTGTGCAATAAGATATAAATGCTAATTTCATAATGATGTAAAATTGCTTAATTTTTCCTTCATGATTTTGTTGTTATTGTCTATTTATCACTACATATCAATGTACGAGTTATGCATTGTAGTGTATTGGTCCACATTGAATCTATGCACTTTTGTGCATTTTAAATCACCATTGACATTTTGGGCTTTTACCTTCGTAAAAAACAAAACAAAGATCATCAAGAATTTTCTCTGTTTCTGTGCGGGTAATGTTGGTCGCTAAACAGGGTGCGCTCTTCTGGTTCTCATACTGTAGAGCTAAATCCCAACACTCTTCCTGTCTACTCATCTGAGTCTGAAGAGCAGGCAGCGGAATTTTCTGCATAGCTCATACACATTTCCCTGCAGAGGAAGTCATGCATTGCCAGGACCCTTTTGTCAGCAAGAAGCCCCCAAGGGATAGACTTCTGGGTCAGGGATCAGTCGAGAAAATTTCCCTGTTGACATTTGTGTTCCTGGCACAATATTGACTTCTGAGGAGAGATGACGACAGCAGTGCTACTGACATTCTACATTACCTTGGGAATCCGAGTTCTGGAAAGAGAGTTGTAATGAAAACTGTTAAAATGTTGTGCAGTTGATGCCTTATTTGTTGTATAACTTTGATAATTATAACTAAACCTCTACTTAAGCCTTAAGGCCTGTTCACACCAAGATCGATAACGATAACTATAGCGATAAAGATAAAGAGTTGATAAAGAGTCCATCCACAACCATGCCTATAATGGCAACATGAAACAAAATCACTGAAATCACTTTCAGAACATTTTTTCTTCTAGCTGATCAGTGATAGAAACATTGACAGCCAATCAGAATCCTTCTTTAAAGAGCTTTAGCTTTTAAAATGAAAGGCGACAAAACTGCAGCGTGAGCTTTTAATACACAAAACGTTATCATCTGCTCTTGTGAACACTAATATAGTTATTGTTGATGAAGACCAACCAATTTGAAGCCATAGGTTTTGTTTCAACAGCTGCTTTACCCTGCTGAAAAACCAACTGAAACCAGTTTAAGCTGGTTTTAGCTGGTCTTCCAGCCTGGTGGTAGTTAGTTTGCAGGCTAGTTTTAGAGGGGTTTTGATCACTTCGTCAGCTAGTCAGGTTGGTCTCAGCTGGTCAGGCTAGAAGAGCAGCTTGACCGGGTTAAACCTGCTAAGACCAGCCAGCCAGCATAGGCTGGTTTTGGCTGTTTTTTGTTTGTTTGTTTTTCCCAGCTGGGAGAACTAAAGTGTGAGTTTAAAGCTAAAATATGTGATAGATGTGACATCAGTTACTGGCATTATTGGCAGTTAATTCTTAGAGACCTTGATTTTATAGAAATTAATTTGGATTATTTCACATTATATATCATATTGTAAGTACCAAAGCATAGCAACCTCCCAGGTTGAGTGAAAATGAAATTATTACTAGTTACAAGAGGTAGAACACCATGGTTGAAGCTAAATATAGCAGGAACATATTTGCGTGCGTGTGTCATGTCATTGTGTGTTTTATTATTTAATTTTTTTCCTAGACAGCAAAAAGAACCACCGCACATCACAAGATGTTCTTTTTGTCTCGTCACATGATCCACACCTTTCAAACTGAAAGGAGTTGGATTGCAGTGTTTCTCTGATTTGACAGAGCTCGTTTTTTTTTTTTTTTGCCTGATTAACATTCAACACAAATTCTCTAGCAATGTGCCAGAGACTAAATCACAGTTTTTCTGCTTTTGATTTTTCCTTCCTTTTCATGGCCTCTTTCAAGGTATTAGAGTCCCTTTTGAATGCTCTAAATATTTTATTCCTGCCTTTGATAACTAATTTCAGTCCATTACCTGCAAGAGTTTTCCCTTTTGCGAATCAGTGTGACATTATTCTGCATTCAAATTTGTGAATACAGATGTATGCAAAAGACTTCATTATTGTGGCATATCTTCAAAAGGAATCAAATGATTTGATTGCCATTAATGGTTCATGTTGAGACAAGTCTTTGAAATTTAAAAACTCATAATGTGCTGTTGGCATGTAGCAAACAAAAGATAGAACCCACTTAATTTCCCTAAGATGGCCAATGCTGGGGCTTTTTTTCCCTCCATTTACCTCTTTCTCTTTGCTTCTTTCCTTCCATCGCATATATCCTCTACCCCCTTTGTGTTTTTGACTGCGTGTGTTTATTAGTGATGCTACACATCAAGCATCACAATTGCTTTTTCTTCAATAAACCTTAGTATTAAACCTTGCCCCATTGCTACAGACATAATTGATACCTCAAATCATGTGACTTATAGAGAGACCAGAATACACAGCAACCACCCAGAGCATCCTAGCAAACACGTAATAATGCTACAAAATAACTTCTCCTGACAACATAGCAACACCCTAGCAATAGCACAACACACTAAAAACCACACACACAACACCTTAGCAACTGTTCACCAATGCCATTTCAACTACCAAAGACAATGTAAGAATGTAGCTGTATTTCCAGTCATCAGAGGTGAATGTTGGATCGTGAAGGCAGATCTCCAGCACAGTGAGGTATGAGCACCATCACTGAACTCTGGCGTCAGTCCAACCATAGCTCACGCCTCTGTCTTTGAAGTGTGGAAATGTTTGGCATCCCTTTTAATCCTGAAAAAAATTAACTTAAATGATTTTAGCAAATGGCTGCAATATAACAAAGAGTGAAAAATTGAAGGGGGTCTGAATACTTTCCGTACCCACTGTATATAAATACACACACATGCATGTATATATTTAAGAAAAATATGTTACATTTATATATTATATTTATATATGATATAAATTATATGAACATAAATATATACATGTAAATACATGTAAATATTTTCAAAATATATACTGTATGTACAGTATGTGTATTTATATATATATTTATACATAATAAATATACACAGCACACACATATATTATGTAAACAAAAACTTTTATTTTGGATGCGATTATTATATAGGTATTATGTAAATACCTATGAAATAGCATAGGTATTTTTTGCTTTTCTGCTAAATGTCATTCAGGGTCCACAGACAGGGACATGCCTGTTGTGTGATGACTATTCTCCAATCAGATCATCAGCTGCTACATACTGTGAACATCCTTCATAAAGAGGTGCATCTGTTTTTGCCCTCCATTTTATTTCACCAGACGCTTGGCCCACCCCTCAGAAGTCATAATTATCATCTGGCACTGTGTATGTATGTACTGTGTGGATATGTGTTTGCCTTCATAAGCCACTAATTGCCACAAACAGTAACATAATACCATCAGTTGTGGACGTGGTATGAAAAATCCACTCGCACAGGTTCAGGAACAGCTGTACGGGGCAGGATGGGCCAAAGCCCATCTGGTGAATGCAAACGCAGGGTCCAGGTTATTTTTCAGCCTGGCGGCCTGAACCCTGAGCTCAGAGCAATGGACAGATGGTCCATTTGAGACGCCACCAAACTAATCACGCTGTTCCATTAGTGAAAGTGTCTCAGATAAACGACTGACCATGAGCACGCCCGTGGTCTCTTCTCCTTCCAATTACTCTATTGATGCCCGGTGTTTTGACACAAATTAATTGGGTCACCATGTTGGTGAGGGGAAAAAAAAACGCCACGGGCAAAGTCATTGTGTGATCATGCAATAGCAAAGCTATTTGCTGAATTTAATTTATTTTAAATGAAATATGCATGATATATTCCGTACCCACTGTATATATGATTTATGGCATGTAAAATCTCTATTATGCGCTATCTTGTCTGTATGAAGTGATTTTTAATCTTAATGCATCGGTAACAGCAACCACACACAGAGTAACACTTACAATATTGTTGGTTATTTTATTTTATTACTTAACAGAGCATTAATTGTTGTAGATTCAGATGTTAAGACATTTCATACATTTTTTTATAAACCGTTTTCATATATTTTATTATATATTTATGAAGTGTCGTGTATATATTGAGACTATGAAACAAAATAGTGAATGAAAAAGGTGACATGCAAATATTGTAAATAAGTAAGTTTTAAATATACAACATTTTATTATGTAATTTTTAACAGATTAGGCTTCAGAATGCTTTTTTATAATGGAAATAATATATATATATATATATATA